TTCAGGTGCGCCGAGTCCAGGTAGATGAAGTCCGGCCGCGGAAAACCTCAACGCTTGGCCAGGGGACCCTAGATGGTAGCTAGGTCCTCCAGTAGAGAGGTTAGCACAAGGGTATCCTTTTTTCTGTAGTCTACTTTAGTAGGGGAACCCTCCTCCCAAACCTGGGTAAAAGGGCACTACTGGAAAACCTAGGTAGGGAAACCTGGTACTGTGGATGGAAGAAATCCATTTCGCACCACTTTGAAACCATGGTTGAGACCATTGTCTGTTGGTATTTACAGGGGAGTTTCTTGGGTGCAGGATTTCGTCCACAGTGGACACCTCCAAGGCCCGGCTGGCGTTGACCCATGACCTTCCGGAAAACAAAGGCGTCTGCGCATCCGATTGGAACATACTTATCAGCAAAACCCATTTAGGATTATGCAAAATATGGCATGGTTCTGGTCCCAGCAAGGTGTGCTGGAAGTGTTCGGTATCGGGGCGGGGACACGTGAACCTGGAGCCAGTCCCTTGCTCCCCGCCAAACGATGTTTTAAATATGTTTGTAGTTCCCCAAAATGAGCCTCCTCTAAAAGTGATGCTTCACCTCCTGTGGATGCTTGCCACTAAGATGGGCTTTCCAACTGGTATATATGAAGTCCAGAAACTTTGCGGTAAGACAAAGGTGGCAAAAGTAATCGGGTATTCCCTTCACAATGGAATTCCGAATGTGAGTGTGTGCGTCTCTGGAAATCCTCCCATCGCAGGCTCTGCGCCTTCAAACTGGCTCACCCTTCATGTTACCGCAGTTTTTGTCCCCATCCTACAATAGTATAGAGCTGGGGAAGTTCGGGCGCTAAGTCAAGATCCCGCGCTGCGCCACGGAGAGACAATTCCGCCGAACTGGTACGTCGGTGGCTGATGCCGCCCTCGCTGTTGGCTGGCTGGATTCCGCCGCTCTGCCTGGCTCACTGATTCCGCCGGTCTGGATTTTGACTGGCTGGCTGGTTTCGCCGCGTCGTTCCAGCAGTTGACTCTTGCATAAGTTAAGTCGTAGCTCATAAGTTTAGCTACAGTTTGCTGCATGAGCAGCTTCATGGTGCCAAGGCATGTTCTGTAGATAAGAAGCAAGTAGTTGGTGAACTTAAAGTGTTAGCCCCCTCACTAGTTGAAGCTGAATTCAGAGCCATATGCAGCTGAAGTTCTTAAGCTAGCATGGAAGTAGTTGCTGATGCTCTGCGAGGTTCATCTTCACCAGCACACATGTAGTAATCAACAAGCCGTTGCTTAGAACAACAAGCAGTTGCACAGTAACTTGCTTGCGTTCCACATGAAGCTGCTCAGGTGTGCCAGGGGGAATGTGTCACTCTCTATTTTACGGCAGTAGTTTCGCGCAAATGCCACTCCGGAGATGAATCTCGTAGCAGCCGCAGCTACTTCCGATGCTAGCTTAAGCACTTCAGCTGCAAATTGCTTTGGAACTTCAACTCACCTAGAATACGGGTGCTATCGCTTCAAATTCATCCACTGCTTGCTTCGAATCTAACACCAACACGTGCGGAACATGCTTAGCTCATGCAAAAAACCTAAGCGGCAAACCCTAGCTAAACTTAGGACCTGCTATAAAACTGCAACTTGAGAAGGGGCGACGCGAAAGGCCGTTGGCGCGGGACATGTGGCGCTAAAGTTGCACAGTCCGGCAACCAGTGCTGCATACTGTGTGGTTGTTTGTACTTGAGAAAGGCAGACACGAAAGGTGGGATAATGTAAAGTGATTCCCTAAACAATGGAACGTCCCGACACAAAGTCTAGAGGTCTTGGTGCAAAACTGAGGTACCACCAGCACCGCAGAGTTGTGCTTGGCCCGCTATGAAGCAGACGTGCACTGCCTGTCCCATGTTCTTTCACCGTCACAATGCCCGCGAGAAATTCTCAGTCGGAGGAGCTGGTAGTGTTGCAGTGAAAGCGCTAGACCCTTGTAGTGCCTGCCAAGTGAACAATCTGACAAGCAGCACCAAACCCTGCTGCAGAGTTGCAGGGCTACCGCAAGCAAAGCAAGCGCCGCGCAGTTCCTACAAAAGTTCGTGAGGCAGGCCAGAAAACTTGACATCCAGCGATCGACCTTCTGGCGGCGCTCTTTCTGCTTACTGCGCCGCAAGCAAAGCCAGCGCGCTCTCTGCGTGCAAAAGCGGGGATCTCTGATTCAATAAGGAAAGCTGGCAACCAGACGAAACTCCACAGCAGCCGGCTCAAGGTCACGGGCTGTCAGTTCCAGCTATTGTAGACATGAAGGTCGGGCCAACTTGTCAAAATAGGCTCTGTCACAGCTGTCACGCGGCACCGGGTGGATCAGGATCGGATGGCACTCAAGACTTAAAAATTAGCAACCTCAAATTTCGGGTGAGAAAAACAAACACCTACTGGGATAACCGCCCTATTTAAATAAGTTGTGTCCTTTGCTACCAGCAATGTCAGCCACTTCTTGGTCAACGTTCAACCCTACATCATTCCAGCCAAGGGCAAACAATTGTCTCAAACGCCACCAAACCTTGGCGCCAACGTAAGGGCGCGGAAGCAAATCCCTCAGCGCCGTCCCCCGAGTTCGGCCGAGACACCCTCCTCCGCTGCCAGCAGCTGAAGCGCGCGCAAGCCACTGAGAGAGGCCACCGGGAAGGGAACGATGTAGTCCTCGGTTTGGGGTCGCGTTTCCACTTATGTTGTGACAAACAAGGCGCAAACAACTGTGCCAAGGTGGCATTCCCATGACAAAATCATCACTTTAACGGGGATTCCCGTGTTACAGGAAGTGGCGACCTAAAACCCTGGAAAATTCCAGAACCATGGGTCCTCAACGTAGGCGGATTCCCTCGTTGCTCCTTTCCTTGAAACATGCTTGGTGTCCCCAGGTCGACCAGGCTCCAGCGACGTTTTGGTTCTTTGGAAATCCAGTGCCCTCTGACAGAATCTATGGGAAAGCCCACACGTTACCTTTGGAGGTGCCTCCATTTGAGACACCAGGTGCTTGCTTCCGCGCTCACCAGAGCCGGAGCCAAACACCCTCTTTTGCAGGTATGGACAAGCGGTTTCCCTCCAATCATGGAAGTGGGCATTTCTCGAACAATTCGGGACTTGGGTTCCTGAAGGCACCCTCTCTCTAGGGGGTCCAAAATTGTCAACACGAGGCTCTTGGCTGAACCTTCACGGGACCTTTTGCCGCAAACAAAAAGAACGAAACAACCAATCGGCGCCCACCTGCCACCTGCTCGGGGAAGGGTCCGCTTAGCTCGGTTACACCCCAGCTTTGTAAGAAAAAAACACCTTGATTGTGGGGGCATGTCTCAACTACAAAACCCGCCAAGAGGTCACAACTTTCTACAGCCAAGCACAGGCCTTCACATTGGATGCTCAGCACAAACGTTGGGTGTTCCGAGAAAAACACGCCGGCGTTTGATTAATCATAATAACAATAATCCACGAGCATGTCGAGCATGTCGTAACTACACCGCACCAAAAGGCTCACGACCTCTTCCCAGCCCTTCAAAAAGGAGCTGGATGCCCCTGAAAGGGGTCGAAGGATCGACAAGCGTGGCTCAAAAACAAACACATCAAGTATCCCTTAGTTGGTGGTGTGGATTGGTGGTTTGGATTTCGATTTGAGCTCCGGGTAAATGGATTCGAGAGAAGCTGAACACATACTCCCGCACATTCACAAACGCTCAGTCCCGAATTCCCGCAACATTCTGCACCAAAAACGACAGAAACATGCAAAGGCAAACCCGCAAACAAAATGTACACATCAAGCCAAACAAAAGCAAACAAAACCACACCACGCCAAGCCAACCCAAACTAAACAAGACCGAACAAACCGCAACAACTCCAAGCAAAACATAAAAGAACACCAAACACCACCAAAGCACGGGAAAAGACACACAACCAAAACATAATTAGAAGCTGCCGGGAGAGTCGGCGTAGCTCTGCGTGTTGGCCATGAACTGCTCCTGAAATCGAACACTTGCTTTTGACTCACTCCACTCACTCAAGTTCGCACGGGGCCTCTGTGGGCGCAGCTGCTTTATTGGGGGGGGGTTGCCATTCACTAGCTTGAGTGAGTTACTTGAAAGTCTTGCGAACTGGAGAGCTCCCTTCCTGAGTTTCCATGGTTCGTGTCGGAAGGTGGGACATGGGATTTGGCAACTCAACATACTCTCCGAAAAGAAAGGTCTACCCTCTGCTTCCTGCCGTTGTCAAAGGGTTCTGGCACTGCCAGAGATTCCAGACCCAGAAAACCGAACCAACTCAGGGAGCCTTGAAATGGAGTACGTGACTGACATCCATACTGGCCCCGCAAAGAGAGCCTACGTGCCGCAACAAAGGGATGGCTGGCCGCCAAAAAAAAACTCTGCTGCAAACACTTTATTCACCTACCTGAATGAAGGCATCACCGAATCACCACGGGACCTTCATTGTGGGAGGCTCGTGTTAGCCCCAGGTGTGCTCGGCCCGTCTAAGAAAGTGCAGATGTATAGGCGGCCCCCAACTGCAAGGACACTATGGTTGGGCCCGCCTGTGATTTTCCTTCACAGGACCGCTTTTCTTCCGCGGCGTTGGAAACCCCAAGTCACGCAATCATCCCACTTGAGGTTAAAATGCCAAAAGGCAATGATCGCTTCGTCCCGCATTCATCCAAGAGAAAGGGAAACTAGAAAGCAAGGACTTAAGCTAGGTTCTCCAGTAGAGAGGCTAGAATGTGGGTGCTCTTTTTCTGTAGTCTATTTTAGTAGGGGAACCCTCCCCCCAAAAAAGAGGTAAAAGGGCACTACTGCTCTACTGGAAGGCCTAGTAAGGTCGCCTTCAGAAGGAATCGCCACTCACAGGAAGCAAGAAGAAGGAACTTGCTCGCTGTTCTGGGGGTGGACTGCAGTAGGAACCTCCACCCAAAGGAAACAAGGAAAAAGGCAATGGCTCCCTGTTGTATGTCTTTATTTTAGAAGGACACCCACCCACAGGAAACAAGACAACACTTGCCCTATTATCCTTTTCTTTGGGATTTCAATGGACAACTCGCCAAACAAACGGAATCAACGGGCCTCCATTTGCTCCCTTTACTTACTTTCAGAGTGGAATTGCCAGAAAAGGTCCAAACTGTTCATTGACCAGTAAAATCGCCTTCCCAAAACGGATAAAGTCCAGGCACTCAGCGAGATTAAATCCAGGGGAAAGCAACACAGGCAAAAAAGCGAGAACACAACCACAAAACGCTGCTGGGGCCCGCTCATAGATTTGGGGGTGGCCGCGGTGTAGCTGCAGACTCCCGCGGCCGGTGGCTCGCCGGTTCAGCCACATGCCTGAGCCGAGTCTGGCCATCCAAGAAATGCGACAGGGGAGTGGCTGGTTGGATCTACCACAAGAGTGAAAGCAACAGAGCTTTTGGTGAAAGTAGACAAGTCTCATGGTAAGTCAATGATTAAACCAACCGGGAATTTGACAACTTTCACCCAACTTCAACGGGGATGAAACCTAAGGCCGCACATCCAACCTTTTTAGGGACCCCATGATGGACATCTTTGTCAAAGCTGAAGATTCATGTCCCCCAACCAAAGCCGCATCTACACGAATGATATTGATATCCTAGAAGTTTGGGACAGTGGTAAGGAAGAACCACATACCTACCTTCGCCTGGGAAAGGTTCTGAGAGCCTTTCTGGGTAGGGACATGCGTCCAAGCGCTCGCCGGAAAAATCGTGGCTTTATTAGAACAAATCCAGTCCGAGCGAAGCGCCAAAGGTCCAAGTGACACTCCTTTCTAATTCCTGTAGCCGCTGCTTCCATGCCTTTCTTGGGACCCCAGACCCGGCGCGCGTGCGCGCGGTATGTGTGTGTGTGTGTGTGTGTGTGGTGGCATTCTGCCTTTTAAACATGTAACAGCGCTTTCCGGGAGCCACATGAGGATTGCTCCTTGTGTTCAGCCTAGTTTCCACCCGAGCGGCCAAACCCTGTTTCTTTTTTCCTTTGTTCCTTCTTTTGGACGGGGGCGTCCTTAAATAAAACAACTAAGTGCCCTTTTTGCTTTCTCCACCAGGGACAAAAGATGCCGGTAGTTGATTCGCCTTTTCTCAAACCTTAAGCTCCATACCTCCGAAACAATATGGCTTCGCTACCCAGAGGTTCATGGGATATGTGCCCTAGTGGCCAGGTGGCTGTGTATCCCATTTACTCTTTACTCTTGGGGGTGCTTTGATGTTCAACCTACGTAGTGGATAGCTTGCACTTATGATTCTAACTGGGACGACAGGCGCTGGTGGAAACATAACCATGCTTGACGTCTACTTACACAGGTTAAGCATCCTAGTACCCAACAAGTTAGCGAGATACACAGCTACTACATAGCCGGTACATATCAAGAGTATATATATCCCAGAATATACCATTAGAACCATTAGATTGGGCGTTTTCTATTCCCGCGCCTTGCTGGCCCGGCTGCTAGCATCTCCGAGGAAAGTGTCGATGCAGACCAAGCAGCTTCGCTTGGACGTTCTGTCCAAGGCCGACCTCGGGAATTTGACTAAGGTGTTTGAAGGTCTACGCACGGTCTGCACTAAGGGTGTGTGTGTGTCGAACCATGGGATTTGGATCGGGACTGCAAATGGGGCGAAAGATCTGGACAACTCAATTACTTCATACCCGGGCCTCCTGAATTGGGTTTGAATTGGGAACCCTTGGACGATTTGTGTCCGCCAACCAATTGGGAGTCTTGGGGGTGATACTCATAGCCATTTGAGCTTTTGCCTCCAACTAGAAAACTGACACTTTCGCTGTTCGATTCTTGCAACCATTCTATTAATCCTGGCTTTCCACATAAAATGGACAAGGACTTGCTTGTGCTTAGCAGGGAATGAGAATTGGAATGACCCGTATAAACCATCCAACTGGTGGTTTCCTTTAAGGGACCCCACTACCAGTTCATTCCCTCATTCCCAATCAAACCTCCGCTCCAAGCCCTGAGCAAAAGGTTGCACCTTTTCTTCCGTTGGGGTTTTTGCTCCCTGGCAAAACTGAGAACTTATTTCTAGTAGTGGTAGATTCCTTCAAAACCAGCAGGGGAAAACACCATATATATATATATGTATATATATTCATTCATTTCAGCAATTGAGCGTTGTGTAGGTTTTACTCCGAAGAAGTCATGTTCCAAAAGATCTAAGGTCCGATGTCACCATGGCCTCACGCCCAAGGGCTAACCTGTCGTTTTGGCGCGATTTGGTGACAGACTAGCTAAAGGATTCCCTTGAAGGGGCAAGATACGTCAGGTAAGTGGCTAGTACGGTTAACCACTTACCCGCCTCACTGACACTTCCTTGAGTGGACTGGCCAAAACAAGTCAAAACTTGCTGTTTCGCGATGAAGCCAAGGAGTGAGACCAAAGCAAGTCAAAGGGGTGCTCAAACATAGGTTCCCAAAATGGCACCTTGGTAGAAAGTCTGTGTGCAATGGGCAACACCCCTCGCTTGGGAGTCGTGGTTCTTTGAAAAAAAAACCTGTCACCAAAAGGGAGTCTCGAGCCTTGTCAGCTGAGCCATGGCTACTTGATTCCCATATGATTCCCATGAGCCACAGCCAAAGGAGTGCTGAGCCAAAGCTCCCCGGCAGAATTCGCAAGGCGCTACCGCCCTTAAAGGAGCCCACCTCCACCGAGAGCCTCAAATCGGAGGAGCGAGCTTCCAAACGGATTCCCTTCAAACTTGACACTCCCGAGAAAAAAAAGGCGTGGCCGCCCCACACATCCGTGAATTGCAAACAAACCCTTTAAACTGAACTGGGAACCAGTTCCATAACCCTATTCTAAGAATTTAAGAATCCAACAAGGGGGGTTCTCAGCAAGCTTGTTCGGGAGACACGTCATGTGAATGCAGGACATTGCCCTCCATTGAGGAGGTTGGTCTTGTTTTGGTTTCCCGTGAACCATGCAAGGGTGTCCCCTTGATTAGACACACCCACATTGCTTACATGCAAGCAAATGGTAAGGGAACAAGACCCATGTTTGCGGCTTGAAGGGAAATCTACCTCAAGTCCAAAGACGTGGATGAGCTGAACTGGGTGCTGCACCGCTCTGGAACATCTAACGAACGCTCAAGTTATGCGATATTGATCGCACCCACGCTAAACCACGAGCATTCGAAAACATCCGAAGGGCGGCCCTCGACTTTTTCGGAAGCTGGTGCAGCAGGTTGCTCATCCAGCCCACTGGCTTGCTTACTTGCAAAAGTGGAACAATCATTCAATGAGTTTTTGGCACAGAAGGAACCAAAACGAGGCTAAGGCCGGACGTTGGCCCACGCTCCCATTCCACAACTGCTTTCACGCGAGTAACGCCAAAGCTCGTTGGCCACCGAACCACCCCCTGCAAAGGCCACCAGAAACGCAAAGGGCACATGAAGGGACCCTCACTAGCCCCCACGCGGATCCACAGCTAGGACCGCTTCTATAGCGGCCTTCTGGGAATTGCCGTGGAGCCCTAGCCAGGGGTAACTGTATTTCGTAAGTGGACACCAATCCCGATGGCAATGTCCTGCATTCACATCCAACAAAACAAAACAAACGCCCGTCAAAGGTGCGAATGTCCTTTAAACCGTTACGGCGATTGCTGAAAAGGTGTATAGCTACCAAAACACTGTGAACGGCTCTTAGTGAGCAACACCGGCAACATGCCGCACAATATTTCTGTGGAATCGTTTGGGTGGGCCTTTGGGTAAAACTACCATGGGCAAGATTGGTATCTACAAGTCCCTGGTTCCATTTATTGGTTAACGTTCAGACCCCCCCCCCCCGGGAGAACAAAAACAACAACAGCAACAACAAGAAACCAACAACTACTTTATGTGTTCATTCTTGGGTCCGGGGCAAAGATGTAAGATACCTCAAGATGGTCTCAGCGTTGCCCTAGAATTTCGGAATCCTTTTGTGAGTCCCATGTGGGTAGGGTAGGTTCAAAAAACATACTTTCCCCGAACCTAGCTTGTAGAAGGCCAAACTAAAGTGAAAGGCCAGCCCGGCAAGGATGTATGCGACCATATTAAGAACAGTAACTGATGTAAACACCCCGAAAAGTCATTGAGGCATGACGTTGGACCAAATGAAAAAGATTTCCTAGCCGGAAACCACATGGACGAGATATGGACGAGAGTGTCGGAATGTGCTGGTGGGGGGGGACACAAACCAGAATCGAATCCGCGCCGTGTGGGGAAGAATTGGTCTTCGGAATCAATCCGAATCAGTTCCCCCCCCTCCCCAACAAATCAATCCAGCGCCTAAAATCGCGGCAGCAAGGAAACACATACTAGCCTGGCTAGCTTTCGTCAACAGTGTGGCACAACCGCGGAAACCACGTCAAGGGGCTCAGGCCGCAAACGTTGGAACAAAGCACTCAGGAACACCTGGCGCGGCTCATGGCCGGTGACCCGTTCTCTGGCAAAGGGTGGACCATCTCCGTCTCAATTAGCCAAAAGGGGGGCCCCTCTATTTTGAGAGCCCCCTGTGTTTGCTTTTGCCTCCAATACTCTTTGCCTCCATTATTGGGACAGCGTTGGATCCCCTCGAAATAGATCCAGGGGCCAGAACAAGACCGTAACTTGATTGGTTCCCTCTCCTTAGGGGTCAACTACTTGAGGAGTCAACTACTTCAAGAAAATGCTGAAGAAATACTTCCTGAAGGGTGCGACAACAGTGTATCTTTAGCGACTTCTCATCTTCTTGAGCCATCGCTGACAGAACGCGCAGTTCCTCATGTTCACATCAAACTTTGGTATCCTGCTCAGGACACTGAAGGCACCAAGCCAGAGAAGAATTGTCCAGCATCAGCAAGCTGCCTGTGCCAGGGCACCGCCTACAGGTCTACTTGCCTACTTGCCGCAGCCGATCATGTCTCAGTACATTAACGGCACGCAGCGAAGGCACAGGGACGCATTTCCCCTCAATGACAATCTCATCGCGCAGTTCTTTATCATCCAGAGTGACTGTCAGATCAGCAGAGAAAAATAATCAGCACAATGCTTTTGAGGAAAATCTCACTCGATCACTACTCCTATGATGATCTCTTCATCACAACCAGAACCATCCGACCCCCAGGAGGCAACCGCAGCAACACCTTCTACACCCAAGAGCAAGGAGAGCATGAAGGAGAAGAAGGCTTTTGGGTTGCGGGTGAAGACAACGGCAGATGAAGAGACATGCTGGGTTCTCGAGGAGAATGACGGGTTCATTGCGGGAAAAGTGCCTGGGGAGTTTGGGCTTTGGAAAAGGAAAAGGCAAAGGCAAATCAAGAAGCATCTTGGCAGTCACTGACGAGCTGGGTGCATCCGGCGGGAAGGCCAATATGGCCAACAAAAAACTATCATCCCTACGACCAGGCATATTGGGGACAAGGCAAAGGCAAGAAAGGAAAGAAAGGAACATCGACATTCCAATATCTTTCATTGGAAACAAACGTTATCCAAAAGGAAAAGGCGGACAGGATAAAGGCAAGCCCAAAACGCTCGCAGCCATCGCAGAGTACTGATTCCGGCGAGCTACGGGGGGATTAATGAACCATGGTGTCGAAAAAACACAGAATCAGCCCCAAAAAGGAATGACACTCCTACCACCTAGAACGTGTATATTTTTCTGTCAGACCTTACCAAGGTGTGGTTCCCATGGATATGATCCCACCAAAGATGGTTTGGTGCACAGGAAAGATGGCAATTGAATAGCACAGCGGCAGCATTTTTCCATCATGGCGCATGTCCATTCATATTGAATGGGGTTGCCCGTTGCCCTCCGCAAACCTCACGCGGTGGGCTAAGAGGATTTGCCCGTTGGGGCATGCGCAGAAAGCACCAACTGTGTGTGTGTGTGAGTGTGCTTGTAGTTAGTTCGGTGCGATGTGTGTGCGTGTGTACATGTTGTCTGGTTTACACACCAGGCGCATACCTCACTTAGGACCCGTCCGTTGGCCCTTTGGGCCATTGGGCGTGCGCACACTGCATTTGACGAGGCATCAACAACAATCATGTGTGGATGTGTATGTGTGTGTGTACGTGTGTTTGTAGTAGCTAGTTCAGTGCCAGGTGTGTGTGTGTGTTGTCGTGTTTCCACACTAGGCGCAGGCGCACACCTCAACCGGATGTCCAAAATTGCTGGTACCGTGCATCATGAACGGTGAGCTGGGCCATCTTGTGGCTATCCTTGGAACAAAAGCAGGAGGTGGGGTAGGACGTGACCCAGCCCAAACAAACACCCAAGAAGCAAACCAACCAAACGCAGCGTTTAAGTTCAAAATCATAAACATGACAACGCACCATAGCTGAACCAGATTCAAAGACGAGCCACCTTGCCATAGATCAGCTTTGGCCGTGAGCCATGTGATCCTCCACGGCCACCCGCCACTGCCTCAGCAACTGTCATATCGTCATCCTCATGGGGGGTGGCCTGCAGAGGGCCCTTGGATCTCAACCGGTGAGTGGGGGTGCTCTCACCGGCAGCACGGGCACGGGGTTTGGCTTTGGCTTTGCCAGACGCTTTGCACATAGGCTTGGTCTTCGGTTCGGCACTGCCTTTGGGCACATTGGTAGCGGGAGCGTGCGCAGCTGGTTCAGTACCTGCGCCGGTGTCGCTGCTGCTGCTGCTGCTGTCACTGTCGGAGCTGACATTGGCGTCAGAGGCGACGATGTCACGGTGTTCTTGTTCAGGGGCTCAGAATGTCGAACACTTCGCCAGCTCCATCAAAGCTGGGCATGGACTTGCTCGGCGACTCAGCTTTGACCATGCGCGTTGGCTCCTCTGCTTGCTGCTGACGCAAGGTGGGTGGCGGTCATGCTCCTCTGGTTGCTGCTGATGCAAGGCGGGCGGCCGGTTCTGCGCATGCTCCTCTGGCTGCTGCTGCTGGGGTGGCTGGTTTTGCGCATGCTCCTCTAGCTGCTGCTGCTGACGCAAGGCGGGTGGCTGGTGCGCATGCTCCTCTGGTTGCTGCTGACGCAAGGTGGGTGGCTGGGTTTGCGCGTGCTCCTCTGGCTGCTGCTGCTCACGTGGCTGGTTTTGCGCATGCTCCTCTAGCTGCTGCTGCAAGGCGGGTGGCTGGTTTTGCGCATGCTCCTCTAGCTGCTGACGCACGCAGGCTCCTCTTGTTGCTCCTGCTGCTGCAAGGTGGGTGGCTGGTTATGCACAGGCTCGGCTGACATGTTGTTCTCATCCATAGCCAGGGCCACGACATGGCCTTCAGGGACGTTAGGTGGGTTAGGGCAAGGTAAGATGTACACTTCGACACATGTATAATTTCAAGTGTGTGATATTCCCTGACACTAGGCGCGCGCCTTTCACATGGCTTGCTGGCAGGGGCGAAGTTGATTCTTTGCACTTGATGGCCTGACACGCTGACAGTCTGTCATTCTCCAAAATACGTTGACGTAAGGCCCCCCCCCAAAAAAATCTACATTGTAATGTCAATAAAAACACATAAAGAAATTCCTCATAACCAACCGCTTTTTCAACCTGCCTTGTCGGAAGCGTTCGGCTCATCCTTTGTTTTGCGGCGCTTCGATCGGGTATGGCTAGTCTGGCTCAGGACAATCTTCTTCAGGCAGCCCCAGAACCGATCTGCCACCTTGAGGCAGGGGTGGGAGGATAGGTCCAAAATGTGGCACTGATCGAACTGGTATGGTCGCATTGATCGAAATGGTAGCCAACATGCTATCCTGTCTCCCCTATGCAAAAATACCCTGCCTTCAGTTGCAGCTCAGTTGGTTTGTTCGACGCAGAGCAACACTGATCCAGCAGCAGCTCTGTGATCTCTGACTGAATGTCATCACATACTGCCGTAGAGCATGTCGCAGCAGGCAATGACACCCAAGACAATGTGCTCGACACTTCGTCTATGCCGAACCTAAGCCACACAAGAGACACAGTTTACGTTCTTCTATGAAAAAAACCACACAAGAGACAGTTTAAAGTTTACGTTCTTCTATTAAAACAAGGTACCAGGGGCAGTTTGGGCCAAGGGCGAACACAGGAACAAAGCACTGTCACACGCCAAGAAGCTCTGCTATGACACTACACGATGGCACCACAATGAGATCCCCTGGGTTGAGGATGCCCCAAAAGCCACCAGCCTCTTCGAAGGCATTCGCAGACATGGCAAACAAGTGTTTGACCAAGTTGGGCAACGACATTGCCACTGTGCCTGCTAATGGAGAGGCATGGAATGTGGCCGACAAACTGGACTGTGGGATGCCCAAGATCAACTTCCTCCCTGTAAGCTGCACATGGGTGACAGGCGCAAGGAGTTCGCATATCCCGTTGAAGGAGTACTCACGTTTGTAGTACAGCACATGCATGGTCAGCGCCCTCAGTGACAGGCATTGAATCCGACTGAGTTTTTGTGGTCAGTTCATTTGGGTGGAAGATGTACGCAAACGCATCATAGCCCATCTTATCAGAACAAGGACGAGGCCACATTTTCACCCAAGACTGTCAATGTGACGGCACATCATGACTGCAAGAACCAATGGGCAAACAGGCAAACAGGCAAACTTCCCTGGCAAAACAATAGTACCAATGTTGGGCTGACACATCCATGGCACTTCAGAAGTGCGTCTTGGTCCTCAAACTGGTCGAACATGCCCTTCACCATGGTTGACCCGAAGAACAGATCTTCCAGCTCGGCATGCTCTTTCTTGGGGAACACCTGCCCACTCAACCAACCATGACCCATCCCAACACACATCCGCACATCTGCCAGGTTCGGCATGTTCTTCCGGGGATGTTTGAGGCACGTTCTTCCCGGGGCGATGGGGCGAGGGAAGGGACAGAAGAAGAGTAATCAAACCAAAACACGATAACATAAAATAAACAATAAAGAATGGGTCAGAAGTCTCGAGAACACATAGTGCCCCCATCGTTTTGGTCGATGTTAAAGGGGGCATCTGAGGGGGGGTGTTAGAAAACATGGTGCTCGTTCTTCCCGGGGCGACAGAAGAAGAGTAATCAAACCAAACCACGATCACAGAAAATAAACAATAAAGTAAAGAACCCATATAATGGGTCAGAAGTCAGAAGTCTTGAGAACACATGGTGCCCCCATCGTTTTGGTCTATGTTAAAGGGGGATCTGAGGGGGAGTGTTGAGAAAACATGTACTCCATTTGGTTTGTATACGTTAAAAGGGATCTGAAGGGGGGGTTCTAGGGGTTTCGGTTAAACGGGGATCTGGGGGACAACGACGTATGGCCTCACTGAAAACGGAGATCTCAAGATCACGCCGCATACGGGCTAGCTTGCTGTCATCTGTCTTCAGCTCATCCAACATGACAGCACGTGCCCAGGGCAAGCAGATACCCGACATGTCTGGCACCTTTGTCATGAACGCAACCGTTGACAAGTCTCCGCACTGTGGAAGCTCGTTCACC